ACTTTTTTCGGACCACTTATTTAGGTTATAAAATGCATCCACCAAACAATGTGATTTGTCTCCACCTCCCCAAAAGAACAGAAATCTGACAGGGTGTGAGATGTCTTTTTTAGCTGTTCTGTCGTCATTTATAGGGCTGCCCCGAATACCATTTTTCGGGCTCCGGATATTCGATAGTAATCAGCAGCGAATATTCAGCCCACGCAGGGGGCGTAGTAATCAGCAGCGAACCGCTTCAGCACGTGTATTTCGGTGTATTCACGGCATTCATTTTGTTATTCTACAGTATTGTTTTTTTATAGTTATTTGTTAATGTATACAACCCAATTTGTGTTCTTTGAAATTGAAAAGGATATCGCATTGTGTTTGTTACTGCCGTTGTAGTTGTATATATTTTAAGTGTAATTTGGCTTCGCTTCCTATTTATGGACATGCTTTTATTTTGAAGGAGAGTTAGTGCTGTTGACAGAAAGTCGTTGTAGCTATGGAAACAACGTGACGGAGATTAACGGAGAAAAGTAATATCTACATATAAAGACAGAGAAAGTAAACGACAACGTTTATGATTAAGTGTTAGCACCCCCCGAAGAGGCACAAGGTCTTACGTTGATATTGGAGTTTTCAATAAATTCAATTTGGCAACCGCAGTGCAGCTACCAAAAAAACAGAATAACGAAATTGAAACCCGAAAAGTAGGCTACTCCAACGAACGAATATTCGGATACTGCCTTAGTCATTTCCTGCGATCTTCTTCATGCAGTCAGTCAAAATGAATATTAATACGGGCCGTTTCTTTGACTATTTATAGGCAGATATGGGCGTTACGTGAAGCCCGCAAAAGCTGCTTTATAAACGAGGCCCCTGGTAACCTACACTACTTACAACAAGTGGGTCACTAGCTGCGTTTACAGGAAGCTTTTAATTCCACTAACAATCAGGGTAAGAGCCCGATTCAAGTAAGAAATACCTCATGGAAACTGCTTAAAAAAAACATTTCACAAGCTGGTTTAAAACTCATACATGGGTTAAGTTTGATATTTAAATAGGAGCTATAATAATATTTGACTAATAGAGCGAAAAAGAGTACACCCTGTAGCGAGTAAAACTCTAACACAGAAAAGACCCGTCTGCCCCAGAACACCTCCACACACACACACACACACACACACACACACAGCTGCGGGTGTGTGTGTGTGTGTTTTCGGGCTGTGTCTCGCTGTCAGCCACTGGGCTCACAGGGAGGGGGGGCAGGAGCTCAAACAAGCCGTTTAGGACAGAGTGTGAATACACATACTATACAGAGATGCTGTATGAGAAACCAATGTGAGTTTGGAAAATTGCACAATGTAAATGTATTTTAGTAGACCTCAACAATGGAATTATGATCAGTAGAAAAGGCCATGACATGGCCTTTAACTGAATATCTTTGTTGTTTTTTTGTCAATAAACATTTCAAGACATCGCCTTGGATTTTTAGGAACTGGAATTTAAATTGTTTTACTATTTTCTGATTCTATGTAGCTTCATAATAAAAAGGGATCCACATAGGTTGTTGGCTATGTATTTCCTGATTGTTTACTGTGGAGCATTTCAACGGGACACGGTTAAAACCTGCTGTAAATATATTTCAGGGAGTTTCCAGTGTCATGGATCACATTTAGACAGAACACTACATGTTTTCACTGGTTTCTGCGTACATACAAATCTCACCCTTATCCGTGAAAAGACAAATACACTGGGGCAATATCTGTCTTCAAGAGTGAATCTCAAATTCCTGAGGCATTGCAACTCTTCCAGGTGAGCTAGGGTTACGTACATAGACTGTATAGGTTACCTATAATATCCTGAGATATGTATGTAATCCCCCCTGAACTCTCTAATGATCATGTGCTTTATATTGGCCTCTCCGATGGAATTTAAAACAGACCAGCTTGATCTCCAGCCAACAGGAGCCTTGCACTGACTGACTCTCAGCATTCTTGGCTTTTCCTCTTGGTTACAGGCATGGGAGCTTCTTAAGCCCCCCAGTCATCCCCCCACCAACAGAACTTTACAGCCAGGATCAAGTGAGATTTAGTTCACAAAGTGGCCCTTGAGTCCTACAATGGGCACCAGAGTTTCATGTTCTGTTGCAGTGAGCGAGCTCCTGACCTGCTGAAGGGCTCTTGAGCAAACTCACTGTAGGTTTTAGTAATGACCCTGAACTCTGCACTGCCTTTGGGACTGTGGATGGAAAAAAATAAGGAATTCTGGGAGATTTGGATTATCCACAAATCCAAAAAAGTGCTTTAGTCAGCTAAATAACATGGCAATGAATGCAGCACTAGGAACTTATCCTTATCTAACTATTGAGAGTGAGATAACTTCGAATATTTAGAATTTAAAAAATCATGATATTTGGAGTGTTTGTCATTTTGTAGTCTACTTTGTTTGCCTAATTTCAAAATAACATTTCTTTTGTGGAAATTCCTGTCACAGGATTAGCCGCATTGCAAACAAACAGGCTACTCAATCTCCTAAATGAACAGATTTGAACTTAAACAGAAGAAAAATACAATGTTCAAATTAAAATACTATTGTCTTAGTGCAATTTAGACCGTCAAACAAAACGCAAATTAAAAAACACGTCATTTTGTAACGTTTCTGCTACATCCAGACACTGAAAACACAACTTTTGAACCAAAACACTTAACTTTGGTAAAGTGTTCACTCAAATGTAACGTTGAACTTCCCTTATTGTGTTAATTGAAGTACAGCGCAGCGAGCACAAGTCAACTTAAGCACGGTGAGACGAGGAAATGTAGCAAAAAGTGTATAATTTCTACGTTTGCCTTTGAAGTCAAACAACATTTCTTACTTCTGTGTCTGCCAGCAGTCCAGGACTGTTTCGCCATACTCGGGCTCCGGATGATGGCTCTCCCGGCCGACTTTAGGGCATCCATGTCGGCGTGTTGTTGCGTAGAGAGTCGGTGAAGTTTGCTGCTGGAGCCTCACAGGATAAATGCTTTTTAAGCAGATTGCTGATGGCAAGGATGGACTTGTGGTGCCTTCCAGTGCTGTCAGAAATACCGATGTTTACCAGCCCACCCGACAAGAAGACTCCTGATGCGTTTGAGTTCAATGGGACATTAGGACATTAAGGAAATTGTTGAACTCAGCGCAGTGACATAGGCTTCAAAGAAATACCAGGAAACATTCATTTTCATCTACTTATGTAATTATCTTTTTTCTATCTGATTTTTCATTTATTTATTTCCTTTCTATCAGTTTGTTATAGGTAAGGTAAGGTACGTTTATTTATATAGCACATTTTTAGACAAAGAGAGAGGCAATTCGAAGTGCTTTACATCAATATTAACACTTACTAAGAAGACAAAATGTATAGTCATATTACATTTGTTTGTGGAATAACGCTGCTCGGATAAGTCTTGAAAACTTCAAATATACTGGCTTAGTTCCTTCATAGTGTGTTTAAGCATTTGGGAAACTTGCTATTGCATCCAATTTGTTGACAATTATATCAGGATTCTGTTTTTTATTGCACCTGAATGCAGCATACTTTTTGAGATTTTGTATTTTTAGTTTTTGGCAGCCAGTACAGCTACATCATTAATAATAAATAAATAAAAACATTTCCTGTTATTTATTTGTTTGAATTTGTTTCTATTTTCTGTCTTAAAGCTTCAGATGCCATTAGTTTTTTTCTGAATAGGGCTTGTATTGCGTTATCTTGTTGGCATTGAGCAGCTGCAAATATGTACCCAACATTCAGCACATTACGACACACACACACACACACACACACACACACACACACACACACACACACACACACACACACACACACACACACACACACACACGTACTACGTACGTACGTACGTACGTACGTACGTACGTACGTACGTACGTACGTACGTACGTACGTACGTACGTACGTACGTACGTACGTACGTACGTACGTACGTACGTACGTACGTACGTACGTACGTACGTACGTACGTACGTACGTACGTACGTACGTACGTACGTACGTACGTACGTACGTACGTACGTACGTACGTACGTACGTACGTACGTACGTACGTACGTACGTACGTACGTACGTACGTACGTACGTACGTACGTACGTACGTACGTACGGTAACGTACGTACGTACGGTACGTACGTACGTACGACGTNTAATCTAAAGTGGGTTATTGAACCTGAAGCTTGTTGCTTCTGCCCTCCTCGACTACGGTCTGGGAGCCGACAGGAAAGTTCGACTGGCCATCTGTGTGTTGAACTTTCCTGTCGGCTCCCAGACCGTAGTCGAGGAGGGCAGAAGCAACAAGCTTCAGGTTCAATAACCCACTTTAGATTAAATGACTGGAGAGAGGCGAGCTCTTCTTGGGAGGCCGTTGCATTTATTTAGCTGTTCTTCTGTTTCACAAAATACATCACAGATCTCTGTTTTTCTGCTGCCTCGTTTCACTTCCAGAAACATACACACGCTCGCTCACTGTCGCTCTACCATCCACACACACACATGCACAAGCCACACACCTCTCTCTCTCTCTCTCTCTCTCTTAAAGGGACAACGATCTCATCTCACTCTGCATAATCATAACATGTGTGTTCTGGAGAATCACAGAACGGATGATCGTCCTTATTATTATGCCGTTTAAACCAATTATTTAAATTTGCTTGTTAAATTCGGCATNCTCTCTCTCTCTTAAAGGGACAGCGATCTCATCTCACTCTGCATGACCCTAATATCATAACATGTGTGTTCTGAATCACAGAACGGACGATCGTCCTTATTATTGTGCCGTTCAAACCAATTATTTAAATGTGCTTGTTAAATTCGGCATCATGTAAGTTGCGCTGACAGGTCCACACACTGCGAGGCTCCCCCGCCCTCCTGTTGATAGTTGACGAGCGTCAAGCTCCTCGACCCCCCCCCCGATAATTCTCGATCGTTGGCACGCTGATAACAATTTTTTTTTTAAATGGCACTTCATGTCAAAAAGGTTGCCGACCCCTGGTCTAAATAGAGACACAGGGCCACACTGTTGCAGTGTTATAATTACATGTGATAAAGATGGGTATTTTATGTTATTTTTAGCATTCCTACATACATCCTCCTGTGGCTGTACATAATAACTAGAGCACGAAATGTCTATTAATCCGCTGCAAAAATAGCGCCTAACAAGTGCACTACTTTCTTCTGAATAAGTAAAGCAACATACATACAAAAGGGCTTGTTTTTTTAATGTTTACATCTTCAATAGGAACCAACGGGAGTGTTTTATTCATAATATTTGTTGACGATAAGAAAAATATAGAATAACTGCAACCATGGTGTTTGATAGGGGTCATCTAAGCATCCTGAACTCACCCTTTAAAAAGTGGCACGAGCCAAATATCACAGCAACATTCTAAGACTTTACTACCTAAGTTAACCCCAACTAATACATCACACAACAACCCCCCATATCAGAGTGCGGGACGCCCCTGTGCGTGTGTGTGTGCTCACACTTGCAGGTGCCCGATGAGCTGTCCCACGGTGATCTCCTGTGCCACCCGATGGTAGAGGCTGTGGCTGTTGAGGACCATGCTCTCCAAGATGGCCAGAGAGCGCTGCAGGATGGACACGTCCACCATTGGCTGGTTCACGTAGCCTGCAATCTGAAAAGGAATGGAGGAGAAACAACACTGACTTCTGAGGCAATTCAACAAGAGCTTCCTCTGCTTATGAAAACGTACATTTATCTGTGAGAAAAAATTGAATCAAGAGTTGAGAAAGTTTCCCTGAGTGACTGTCAAGGCTACAAAGTTTTCAGAGGAAGTCTAGTCACACACTGCACACACTGATGAAGCTCGGAAAAATGTGGAGTTGCTAAGCAACAGCACCCACTCATTTCCGGCATGTAGGGAGAAAGGTTGGTAAGGTAATTAAATAAAAGTGTATGAATAAAGAAGTGTGGATGTATGCAGTGGGCTCTCTGTGAAACCAATATTTCGGATACAGGAGGAGGAGGAGGAGGAGGAGGAGGTACCTGCTTGATGAAGGAGAGGGAGATAAGGTCCCAGGACACAATGCCGTGGTCCATGAGCTCCAGGAAGGCAGTGAGAGTGAAGGCCAGCATCTCACCAAAGCTGCAGGAAGCAGAGAACAGTTAGTGGTCCACATCACCTGACCAGGTCTCAGTGGATGTGTGAGACTTTCTCATCATCATCTTCTTGATGCAGTAGGTTTTATAAACTAATTAAAAACATTTTGTTACCAGATATTTTCTTTAAATGATAATAAAACATACACCTATTAAAAGGTGGAGTCTGGGATTATAAACCATTACCCTTTTTTGTCAAACTCATTGATTACCTTTTTTACAGTCCACACTGTAAGCTCCGGATATGTATGATTACATATATCCATATACGATTAATCAATATGTGGACTGAAGCAGAACATTTTGCAAGACAAAAACATGCTATGATATATTGAAAAGATCATCTTTCTTCAGTACCTTTTGACTAAGAACAAAGACAACTACAGACTGAACTGTTTGAGCGTTTAGTTTTTTTGAACAATAAATATAAAGAAAATGCTTTTATTATTCATTTATAGAGACATGGGGAGAGAAAAACCATGCAACCACTTTTCATTATTGTAAAAGAAAAATATTGATCTCACTGGGTGCCACTCTCAACAAGACGTGCCAGAGTCCCTATGCCCTCCATGTTGATGAACTCTGCTGCAAAGGTTGGGTCTGCGGACAGCTTGGCGAGTTCTTTCAGAGCCTCCAGCCGAGCATCAATACCGTGAGACTGGATCCTCTCCAGGAGCTGGCGGGCGGCACGAGCCTGTCCAACACAGAAAACATCCATTTTATAAGTTTACCTCACCCTCACATTCATTCATTCTGAATTATGATCTTAAGGATTTGCATCAGTGCATTCTAAAGTAGCTATAATACATGTTAAAATATTACAGTTAGTAATTTTTTAGAGACCGACTATTTCTTTGTAATCCAACACTGCGTGCCAGAGGTAACTTCTCTCAGCCTTTTTGCACTTCAAGAAAAAGTTTGGTTAAATTAATTAAATGTGACTACTCAGGTCAACATGTTTGATGAAGGCTGTGTGATATACGTGTAACCTGATATCGTTTAAGGGTTCATTGATGGGAATCTGGGCACAGAGCATTGATAAATAAATATTTTCTCAGATTATGTTGCAGGCAATGTTGGGCTAAAAAGTCAAGCAACAAAAGTTGTAATGAATCTGAATTATTCCTTAAAAACAGCTTAGTGCAAAGTGCATCGACAGCACTTAGTTGTGTGTTTTGGCGGTGGAGGCATGAGATGCTCCCACAGTGCATTTGGGAGAAAGGGTGGGATTAGGCGGAATATATTATCATACATTATTATTGTGAGGGCTTGGAGGCTGGTGTCAACCATGGCAAATCACATCAACCTCTTTCTTTCTCTAAAAAGCAGTGCTCTCCCACATCATGTGCTGACAGCAGGTTATGGAGCACCGACACTTGCAAAGCACAACAAGTTTGCCTGCACACAAGGAGAGTTTGCTGATGTTCTTTTCAAGTCTTTACAAAAGAAGAATGAGATACTTGATGGGGGAGGAAATACACTCATTGTAAAAATAGCTCACTAGCTTATGTGAAGTAAATTACAATTTCAAAACTAGTACAGACACAACTGAGCGGGAATAAAAATAAAACAGACTCACAGGTGAGATAGCTAATCGAAGGATCGTCCCGTTCTTGATTTCACTACGGCTCTGAAAGATAATCAAGGAACAATATTTCCAAACGTTCAACACTGATTTGAAATGCCATTAACACAAGCCTTGGAGGAAAACGTTTAAGCTCACCTGCTCCGTGATATAAAGCTGAGGGCCATCAGCATAACGCAGAGCAAACTGCTCTGAGCCGGATAAAGACCAGCTGAGGACGAGGACAGAAAGAAAACATTAAGAAGGAAAATTCATATGGAAACTAAAAGAAGCAGTAGGATATCAAATAAACGTGAATGAACAAACAAAATTCAGATCCTGCATTTGTATTTACACAAGTGGCAAAACTAAAAGACTGTGGAGGAGAATTATTCAGTGGGTGTAACACTGTAACAGTAGCAGTTATGTGCAAAGAATTTCCAGTTTGAAATGAAAAAAGGAGGCAGTGGGTAGATACAGCAAAAAAGGTGGATGGGTAAGTTTAAAAACTAGAAGTACACGGCAAAAGAGCAGATAAAATATCTAAAGACAACAGTGAAGCACAAAACCACATGTTGAGACACACGCAGACATGATGATACATATAACATAAATTCATAATGGGTATTTAAGTAAGGTATAAACGGTCAGATCGTATGTCTGTGTGTGACCCACTGAAGTATTACACAACTTTACATGTGCCTGATTTTGTAATTTAGTTATCAAACAGAGAGTCAGAGACAATACAAAATATCAGGAAAATATGGAAATGTGTGGGAGTTCGGCTTACCCATCACAAACTTCCCGTATTATTGAGGACAAAGCTCTTTTCTGCAAACAGGAAGAAAACTCAGCATTACTCATGCCTTTCACATTCAAAACAAATCAAGAACAATATCCATCAATAATTATTGTTCTGAAGGTTTAATTTAGTCATTAGAGGCAGATTGGAGATTTGTCATGATGTCAGGTTTTTAGCAGATACACACCTGGTCCATCTCTATTAGCTGAGCATTCGCACCAGGCCATTCAATAGCCACCTTCACGATGTCGACTGGGGGCGGCATGATGTATTTTTGCAGTACTCTACACAGGAAAAAAATCATTAGTTTTATCCCTAACACAACTTCTCCTGTTGGACAGTATTCAACACCAGTCGGGAAAATGTGTTATGACCTGTGTACTTCACTTGAACACAGAAATACATTTTAATGTGACATTAGTGCCATTAAAATGATAAATAATAAATCATGTTTGACACCTCACCAGTTCAAATGGAATATACGTTTTATTTTTTAGAAATCATTGCTTTTATTACTTTATTCACACTATGTCAATATGTTTGGACCCCAGCCAAATAAAAATCTAAAAATACATTTTTGGATTTCAGTCTGACGATTGATTAACTTCAAAGGACACGAAATGAAGGTTATACATCACCTAATGGAGAAGCTTTGAGGGGGTCAACCACTCTCACAACTGTGCTGAATAAACCGCTGAGTCAGCTCCTCTGTGAACACAGAAACCCACACAGCAGTCGTGTCAGTGAAAAACTTTTTCTTAAAACCCAAATGCTCAGTTTGCTCCATCCATGCATTTCTCTCTGAACTGAATCTGTCAGTAAACGGATCAATAAGCATGACTGTTTTACTGAACCACCCACACACACACACACTGAATGTGTCTAGTTTTCTGCCTACTGGACTCTGGGTTTGCCGTGCTTCCTGCCTTTGACAAGTTGTTATTATTATTTCCAATGAACATTACAAATCAAACAAAGATGCTGAATAGAAGTTTACCCCAGTTGTGTAAAATATTTCTTCATCAACTTATTCTTCAAACATTTTCCTTTTTAGTGTTAAATGTCAGATGTGTTCCAATTGCGAAGTTTAAAGGAATCAAAATGGATTTCTGTAGTGGGGAAACAAAAAAAGACAAACCTAATATGCAACACAGCTTTTTAATGGACCTATAGTCTACCCTCTAGTGCTGCCCAATGTTAGCTTATCGCAGATACATATTTGTTGGCTGCTAAGTAAAGAAACTGCAGAAATGAAGGCCAAGGATATGTCTGAGGTCATTTATAAATATCTCGCTCAGTTCTAATCAAAACAGTATTTTTTAAGGTATATTGTTATCAGGCTTTTAAACTCCTATATATGTAATCCTGTATATTGAAACAGGCACGGCTTTAAGCCCGAGTAGAAATCCAAGCACTGTTCAAGCTCTAGATGTTTGTCAAAGATAATATCACTATTTGTTATCACCGGCCTTGAAGAAACAGGTTCCACAGATTTATTACAGTGTCTTCGCATTTGCATTTGAGCAATGAATAAATAAACTCACAAATAAATCATAGGAACAGCATGCTCCAAAAGCTGTGCAGAGATAGCTTCAGCTTAAAACAAAATGGAATACATGTACTGTTTTGCTTAACATCTGCTCTCAAATTACACTTTATTGCAAACTCTTATGTGGATTACATATTTGTACAAATGCAGTTCTTAAAACAGTTTGATTAGAATCACTGCAAAAGGACACATATTTACCAAAAAACAGTCCCTGTGTACGTCTGTGTGTTACGTCACGCTTAATTTGACTGGTGCACTGACGCTTGTTCAACTTGTTTCTTTATTTGCTCTTCAATTCAAGGGTGGTGGTATGAGGTCAAGGAAACCCACAGCATCTGGTCTTTGGCAACAGAAAGAGACATGAAGAGTCAAAACATGTTACCATGTTAGTACATTTCTAGCACTGCAGCACAGTGTTTCTCAGTCTGTCTGACTATATATATGTTTAATTTGCGTCAACAATGGCTCTGACGTCTGACTGGTGTTATTTGATCATTTGTAAAGAAATATCATATTTTGCTCTCATACACACGTTTTTTCTTTTGGGAAAACACACTCAGTTCAGTTGTCTCTGAATCATTGCACTGCAGCTGTCATTTCTCAATATGAAGAAATCTCAAAGTTAGAATAAAAAATTCAGCTGTAAGATTAATTATAAGCATGCCCGAATCCTTTCATTTAAAAAACGTTACATAACATGATCATTGCATATTCTACACATCATTTGTCACAAACTAATAGAAGAGTATCGGAACAACAACAAATGAAGTTGGATACTGCATAATGCAATAATACAGAGGGAAAACTGCAAATTAATTTCAGATTCCAGCCAGCCATCTGATGAGAGACTGCACTGCCTCCGCATCTTCAAGCAGACTGCCCAACACATCACATAAATGTGTGATCTCATAACTTTCTGAAAAGTTCTTGTAATAAAAACATGTTTTCCACAAGTTCTGGAGCATGTTTTTTTTTACGAGTAATGATACATTTTGCCAAAAACATTACAAGAAGAGATTAACCATGTGTTTCCTCTATTAGTGAGTTGTGGAATAATTGACAATGCAGCTTCAATTTGATTGTTTAGGTTGCCAACATTAACATGCAGTGAAATGTAATGAACATCAAGTAGATAATTCAAGATGTCATATGTTGTGGGGTTTTCTGTCGTATTAACTTGCTTAAATTAAATGTTACCATGAAATAATATTTCCACACATTAGTTTGCGTTCCCATGAAGCTTTGGGTGCTCAACAAGTTTGAAATACAAACTTGTTTAAATGCTCTCTAAAACAGTTTGTGTCAACTATGAAAAGCCATTTATCACAGACCTTGCAACTCATTCCATACAATTGTAACTATTGTGGAATTGAGTATTGACCTAAATAAGGCTTCTGATAGCTACTGTAAGTTAAATATTAGTGTTACTTCTTTACGTTTTTTTTAGTTCACACAGCTTGCACAGGAACGCTTTCACTCCAGTAGCAACACCTTTGACTTGATTTGTTCCACAGGATTGAGGCTCCTGCTCTGACTGCCTCCTGTCACATCTGTGCTGTCAGATGACATTAATATCACATGTTGAGCAACACTGGTCTCTGAAATGTTGGTGCGGATGTGTTCACCACTTGCTATTGGTTTGTGAACTTTAACTGTATATGGTGAGTAAATTGCCTGTAGTCCTGACTCCTTTCTCAAAAGTTGTTTGACTTATACACAACTCTTTCCTATTTCATGCGTTCAGTTTGCAGTTTTATTTGACTAAAACAAAGACTGTAAAGTATGTCTATACTTTGCTTTTTAAAAAGAATGTGTCCAGCCTAAAGCGTGTCTGCAGGAAATTGAGCAACAAATAGTCTACAGTTTATCAAAACAGTTCGTTTTCTACACATCATGGAACAAGTATGTATCAAAATAGCACTCTTTCCACTGCTTTATCAGTAACAATAAACACTAGATTTATTTGTGCACTGTAACCAAACTCACCCAAAAAAGGTTGTCTGTTAGTAGCTGCTCACCATTTAAGGTTTGTGATTTTTCTTCTTTAGAAGTATAGACATATTAGATACAATCGAAGTGCCACATTTAAAGTTATTGAACCTCAGATTCTGAAATGTCATTTTTGTGTTTGAACCCAATCAAAAAGATTTCTGTTCTTACACATTTTGAGACTATCTCGGCTGTCCTGGGACTGCTCACTCTCTGTCCCCCCACTCCAGATGTTTTGGATCTGGATATTTCCAAGTCTCCATGGTGGAGAGGAGGTTGTGATCCCAAGTTGCTTAACATCCGCCCTGATTCAAATTCTCAATTGTTATGCTTACAATCTTTCCATACTGTAATTTTTTACTTTATTGGCCTTTTCTGTGACACATGTATCTATTGCTCACCTATCCTGGGAGAAAGATCTCTAGCTAATTGTTCCTCCTGGGGTTTCTTCTCTTTCTTTTTTGGAAAGTAGGCCTACTTGTCAGAGTGGAAGTGAGCCAGCTTGCAAAAAGCACTTGAACTGACACACCTGTTGTTATTATTATTATTATTATTATTATTATACAGTCTGCTTTTCCTGGGATGATACTTTTTTTTTGTCAGGGTCGGATTAAAAGATTTAGGGACCAAAGGCAAGGCGACATTCCTAGTTTCTCAAATTGGGAATGTTGGGCTTGGCATTGTTAGAAGAAAAGCTCAAAACCTTTATGTCTGAAATAAATCTATGATAAGTAACACTTTCAACTCCACACAACACAAGTCCTGCATTTGTGTTCAAGGTTGAGCTTTCAACTCTAATATAATGCGTAATGGATTAATGTATTACGAAGATCCCATTAAATTGTTATAGGCTACTTTAGGAGTACAATCTTAAACTTAATCAGTCAGTTACATTTCTGACAGGTAAAAGTTGTAATGCAATGCTGTCATTTGAAGTAAAAGTAGAACAATAGGCCTACGTTGAGTTGCATATTTTGTAAGTGCTTGGTTACTTTACATATCATACCTTTCAGTTGGGGGGCACCAGGCAGTTGACTGGTGGTAAAGTCTGCCCCTGTTTTGGTGGCTCAGTGCAGCTGCTTGCTGATGGCAACTGCAATACTAAATGATGGGAACTGTTTTCTATCCGTGACACTGTTGTTTCCTTGAAATATGACTGGTAATAACTGGTATATGACTGGGTACTGGTGTTCTTTACTGGGAGGCTTTAACGGAGACCACTTCAGCAAGTGATCTGGCTGAATGTGTGCTGCGGTGGTAGCATAGCAACAGCGAAGGGTCTGAAAAGAGACCCCACAGTGTGTCTGAGAAAAGACAACTTTTTCTGTCCCCCACCAGCCACTTTCACCGCGACCCGGATGTTTCTGGCGCCATTTTACTATTCTTATAATGTGGTAAGGGGCTTCTGTCTGCGCTGCTTCAAATAAAAGATGAACACATGCAGGCTGTGAAGCTCCCAACTTTTACGATAGCTAGTTAGCTAGCGTCAGTAGAATATGCAAAGTGGCGCCCCCTTTGGTTAAACGATGCTTATTATATGAGGAGTTTTCCGTTAGTGGAGAAAAACTGCAGTTTTCCTTTAATCCCCTTTCTATAAAAAACCATGATTGGATCTAGACAAATGTACAGGCCATTTGCATGCAACGCGACAACAGTCACCCACTCGCATGTAAGGAGACGGACCTTCTTTTGGCTATCTTCTCCAGGTGTTTGCAGTCACCGTTAATACAGTCAAATGCTTCATGCATCATAAACTCATAATAAAAAGGTTTAAGGCCTGATTAGATGTGATTGATCAGCCTAGGCTGGAACTATGGTAACCACAGGGAGCTGATGCAGAAACGGCAGCAACCTTGTGATGTTTATCGAAATCAATCACAGCCCGTCATAGTGTCGGTGTATCAAACAGGGACTAACACAAGACAGCACTGCCTCTTGATAATATGTGTGAGAAAGTAACATTTAACAACGATACTCACTTGCTTTAACGGTCAGTAGCAACGTTATTCCTCAGAAGGCGACCAGTGTTATTCAGTCATCCAGCCAGTCTCTGCCTGCCCCTCCATTGCAGTCATGATGCAGCCAGTCTCCCGGCGGCTGTCCTGAAGCTCTCAGGATATACTTTAAAACGGCTTTATGATTTTAACTCAAGCCTAGTTGCTATTGTCGATGCCCAGTGTCATCAGGCCACCGATGATGCTCTATCTCTTTCCCTCTCTCTACAGAGAAACACTTTTGGAAACGAGACACTATTCCACGCCTTGTAGGCGGGACACAATGTAAATGTCACCGTCTGCTAATGAGGCAGCCCTTCTTCATCTGATAAATAATGCACTCAAACTGACATCTTCCGCCGAACCAGACCGGTATACAGCGATTATAATACATCACATCAATCCGTACGCTATATTTGACTTATTACTCTTTGACAGGGTTATGTGTGCAAGTCTCAATTAGACATCTCACTACACAAAGAACATGGCTATTAATGTATGATATAAGTTTTCCATTTTCTCTTATGCTATCACATTTGTACAATTGGTTGTACCATCCAAACACAAACCAAGACAACCTATAGCTGAGAGAATCAATACAAAAAGATATGTAAAGTATGAGGTCGATTTTGTTTTAAATTATGGCCTGGTTAGTTTTGCTTAAATAATAGTTACACAAATGAAACCTCTGTGTTATTACTGTAGCATAACACAAAAACCTCCTAGAGATGCATATTGAATTTCAGAGCCTTCGCGAGAAATGCTCGTTCATTTCTCTTTCCCTTGCCTGTAGATCTTATAGATCAAAATGTCATTAATTCTGAAAAACAAGGGCAGATTTTTGTTACTCATGAAAACGTACTTACTTTATGTTTAACCCACATGACCATGTTGTGTATCAAGACCAGCAAAAGATTAGAATCTGCACCACATAGACGGATGATGGCATTCACAGCACAATACATCTTTATTGAACACAGAAACCATGTGTACAGGAATAATATCCACAGCCTCAACTGAATAGGTAACAGTGGCTCACTTCATGGGATGGCTGCTGGTGAAACTGGAAGGGGCCAGCAGACGACTGCACTTAAATTCACTGAGGAAACCACTTTTGAAAATCAAACAACAGCTGAATGTATTTAGCTCCACGTTACAACTCATGCATGACATCAAAAATAGTATTTCTGACATAATAGTTTCATCAACAAACATGGACATACCCAATCAAAAGTGTTCGACAGGCACAGAAGCTGAGTCAAACTGCTGCTCTGGAAAGTTACGTTTAGAATGAGCTTCAGATTACGTGAGGTTTATAAAAAAATAAAAATTAACATCACCTTTTATCAACACCATCTGGATGCATTACAGTCAATAACACATTCTGCAGTTTATCTGTAGATCAAGTGTACCAATAACCCCAACAATCACCAATAAAATAATGATGGTACTTCAGAACTATAAGCTCTGTTACAGATTTCAGACAAGTGGCTGTTCAAATATTTCCCTTTTTGAAAACTTGAGATATCACAGCACAAGGTCTTTCATCCATGTCCTGGCAGTTTATGTTTTGTCATGCCATTGTATTATTAAATTGAAGAACAAGAAAATAACTGAAATAAAGCTCAATGGTTTAGGAAAGGCTGAGGGTAACAATACATATTTGATGGTCATTTTCTGACACGTACACCTCACTGCATCAGACACACAAGCAAACTGGCATCAGTATCAACATGAAGCAATCACAGCTGTGCAAGGTTTTTAAACACACGACCATACATGAAGGTTCAGCGGCACAAATGTTGCTGAAGTGATCTTTTTTTTAACATCACAACATGTCACTGAGAACACACCAACATGTAGACCGATCTGTGAAGCTTTGCCTCAACACACACGACAAAATGAACCACAGCAAAGCGTTAAGATGTACATCAACACAATGCTAAAAAGTTTAGAAACAAAGAATGTTCACTTTACTAAACTCGGCTGTAAACTGAAGACGTCTTAGAGGTAGGAAATGGGCATGGAAAATGTTCCAGGAATAATCATTCGCCCGTTAAAACCGGTGTTAATTATATATTATTTCTACGAATCATGAGGCCCAATAGGTTTCTCCTATAGAGAGTTACAGCAATATCTTATAACGCCCTAATAATAAAACAATCCAGCAGCTTTATTGCACTTTATGAGCAGTTCATAATTAATTACTGTCCGTTGATTACATACAGTGATATAATCTGTAGTTGTAAAATGTCTATCAAATTGACAAATATAGACCAGATCTGCAGATGGCATTGGTAGAAGTGTATTTAAATGAGAATAGATGACACTATTTAGTGGTTTGCATCATTATAAAGACTAGGTTAGGTTATTACACATATAGGCAAATTAGACTATGTAATACATTTGCAACACCTTATGTTATACGGGATTAAAGGCCACATAGGGAAGTGGGTTCTGCAAAACTGTCCAAGTTCTAAAGCTCGACAGCTCGTTTGACACGAGAGGTTTGTTAAATACCAAGTTTCACACCGATTAAATTCCCACTTGTTAAAAAACATTTGCATTTACCATGAACAGTGTGTGTGTGTGCAGCTGCCATTTCAGGGACTAAATTAATTCATCAGAAGAAGAGCAATGACATCCAGCGTGTAATGAGCTTCATTAACATTACATCCAGAATTGAGATGTTAGTACAAGTGTGAAGACAACAAATCCTCACGATACATAATAACCAAGGTGCTGCATTACAACAGATGCAGATAACTGATCACACAGAGTTGCTTCATATGAGATGACATATACAAAGAGCAGTCGGTTCAGCTGAGGTCACAAGTCACAGGCTCACAAGCAACACCATGCAGGTAACGTTAACACAGTCTCCTGTTATTTAAACACAACCTACACACTCCAATACGGTCAATACAGAATATTAACCTGCAATGAGAGACTTTTGCATGTTATTATCTACAATAAACTGTCTATATACTCTTTAAACCCAAATTGTTTAGATTTTTTTTTTTTGCATCTTGAAAACAAAAATTCTAAAAATGATTGATTAAAATGTCCAACAAATGGGTTTCATTATGAGACATTATTCACTGTGCATCAGCTGGATTTGTAATAGGTCTGTGTGAACGTTAATTTGAACGTTTTTATTTAAATAGTATGAGCCAGCTTCATGGTCAGAAAAAGAACATGTGATAACTTGCTCAATGTTGTGGTATAAAGTACAGTACTACTTAATAAATAAATATCTCTGGAGGAGTTGCATAACAAAAAACAACCGACAATGATGTTGCGGATGTGCTTAAAATAGTATTTTGCAATAAATGCGTAACTGGGAGTCACAGACAAGTCTAGAGCTGTTGTTAATAACAGACCGCAAGAAAGTAAAATCACAATTTGTATCGGCTTACCAAAATTAGTTGAAGCAGGTTATTTATGTTATACTTCAAACGTCCATATTGAGCAAGAACAGTTTTAAGTCCGACACCAATGTGACACAATTCACATTTTAACCAAAATAAACTTAACCATCTTACAATTGGAAAGGGGGCAATTATTTATAAACTCTATTTGTGTAGGACCCAATAAATTCAACTTTTGGGCATCCTGTCTATATTCTGGTCTCAGTAACATGATAACGTATCAGCAGCCCTCTGCTTTCAAACCCATTGACTATTTGCACATTTTAACCCCAGAAGTGTTTATAATAAAATACTATACAAAAGGTAATTAAGCTCCAGGTCATTACAAATTAGATTATAACATTTCCCTTTTACATATCCACTCCGATTGGATTAGAGATCAAATTAGTTACAGTGGTTATTCGTTCCTTTTATTGAATATAACACTGTTGATTCAATAATGCACAAAAAATGTGCAAACGGTCCAGGGGAAGAAGACATCACATTTGATTGAGCAAACATAAAATCATGCCATGAGTGTTTAGTCAATCATACTGTATTTACAAGGATTTACATTTACAAGGATTTTCTCTGCCATGCATTGTTTCTTTATCTGGTGAATTCTGAACCAGTTTCATTAAACCATACACTATGAACACTGGATTGTTCACCAGGGGGAGAGTAAGTCATATTTTTAGGGAGCCCAGGCAGAAAATTATGATCATATCTAGACTGATTTATTTGTAATTCCTTTTGAGGACGGTACTTTACAATACAATAAATGACTATAAGTCTGTAAAGTTGTATTTTTTTAAGAATCTTACTCTCATGATGAGCTCAACGTAGCCCCGAGCCTCATTAATTGCTTCCTGGGTTTATAATAAATATATTTTGAATGGATTTACAGGTACATTTACTCTGCTTTTTCCCTAAAGGTGCCGGTGAGAAGAACAGAGAGGGGGAAACAGGGAAAATACCAGAGTGGGGTTGAAGGAGGGGAGATGTACGTTTGTGAGGTCACTACCAGTCTGCATTATCCCAGGTCTCCTCGGCAGGTTTTGTGGGACTCTTCTTCGTCTTACCCTCTGCGTTCTCCCAGTTGTTGTCCCAGGCTTCCCAGCTCTCCTCTGTGCTGTGTTTGTTGTTGGACGCTCCCTCTGAGCCCCAATTGTCCCAACTGTCAGAGCTCTTCTTTGCAGAATTATCTACGTTGGTCCAGCTGTCACTGCTGGGGGATTTCTTGGCCTTTAAGGAGTTGCTGCTTCCAAAGGTTTCCCAGAAGTCCTTTGCGACAGGCTGGGTAGAACTGCCCTGATATCCCTCAGTGGCATCCATGTTCTGGTAGCTCTCTCCAGTAGACCTGAAGACAAGCAAAACATGTTTGAATAGTTAATGTCGCTTCGCATCAAGTCACGCAGTACAAAACATGTTGGATGTGGGAGATTTAGAATTGTATCAAGTTGTTGTCATTACCCATCCTCCGTTTTTCCCACGAAGAGATTAGTCAATTTGGAACCAGCTCCCTGGACCTAAAGAACAGAAACAGTTAGGCTAACAATACTTTGACGCAGTTGAAGTGTTTTTAGAGATTGTGTTAAAAAGAAAAACATCTTAACAAAAATGTAATACAAAAGTAAAAACTAGCAGTCATAGAAGTGATAACAAAAAGGAAAATAATTACCACAAATACATAAACATTTCTAGTTTTTGTAACAACAGTTTGAGGTGGTAATAATAAACTGAAAATAGATATTTCTAACACTTTACACCGGATTAGTTGACCACAAAGTACTCACCACCGAATAAAAAATGGCAGCAAGAAAAACAAGAGGTGACAGTGAGTTAGAAATATTCAAACATTCATCATCATAGCAAAACCAGTCTCCTTGGAGGGCTAGGACCTCTGCAGTTTTTGGTTATCTGCCCTAAGACCCCCCATGTATTTTAACTGTTGGATTAAAGCTGCTGTTCCTGAATCCGGAGACTGGTTTTGCGTCTGTACGGCGTGGCAGAGGTCTGCCCCCCCCTACCTTGTTTGCCAGCCCGGTGATGCCGAGTGTCATTTCATCTATCAATTTGCCATCTTTTACCTGAATGAGTCAAATGTTTATTAAAAACGTATAATGTCAAAAATGTCCATTCACACATGTTTGTCTAAGGTACATGTAGCTAGCAGCAGTTTGGTTTTCCATTGTGAGAAAAGGATTGGTTTTGTTAATAATCATTGATAATCAATATGAGAAAACAACATTTTGTTTGAGTCCAACAACAAGTGATTCTTCCCAAGAGGAAATAAGGCCAAAGTTAAGCAACTGAAACCAGAGACTAAAAGCATTGTTACAGAAGAGCAGAATATTGATACCTCAAACCATTAATGCCAACTGTACATTAGAAGACAAAAACATTTAGTTTAAAACTCAACCTCCATCAATGGCTTTCCCACTTTTCATCAATTAAACCAAGATAGAAACCCACTTCCTGGATTTTGTTTTCTTAAAGCTTAACAAAACTAATTTCACCATATTAAAAGACTGATCCAGGAGCTGCTCTCTTGACTGGGTTAGAGAAGTATTTTGGATATAACTCACCATGATCCTCAGGGAGTGAGACATATTCATTACAGTATTGTGATGCAACAGCACATTTTGCAAAGCCAGTAAGCAATTGATTGTCAATTGAAGAGCTCCAGATTGTGTCTTTTAATGTTTACCAAACTTTATAGAAGAATCATTTTAAAAGCCTTGGAGCAAGACTTCGGCCAAATATGTTTGCAGTGATCAGTCAAGCTCGACTTCAAGTGCAAAATGTATATCAAATTAAGACTTGTTTTTATGTAATGGAAATTACATTTGGTTAACATCTTTGTATAAATATAGATTTGGCCCAGCACAACAGGATTTGCATGTTTAGTGTAAAGGCTCATGTTTCTGATAATCAAAAAACACATTAGTGGCTATAATATATTCAGTAAATTCACCTTGCGATACTTCAAATCCCAAAAACCAACTGCCTTGAAATGACAAAGACTTTGGCTCATAAAAAAGGGTTTAATATACATTTGAGCGCGGTGCAGTCACTGTGTGGAAAAATCCACATTGACTCACATCCGCTCCCATATAAACAGTTCACAGCTTTCTGCAAATCCCATTAATGAATCACTAACTTGGAGAAATAAAAAGAGTGTTATTTTTAAACTGCAGTTTTTGTCTTTTAATTTCAGCTGGCACAAAGCAGATAAACTGGCACAGACAAGCAGTGTAGAAAATAGCACATTCACATCTGAAGCCGTTTTTGTCTCTAAAGCACTAAAGCCCACCACCAAATCAACAACTTCAAACATCAATGTTACCTTTTCTTGTGTGGGTTTGATAACATTCTCATTTAATGTCTGTCCTAACTCTGTAGCCTAGTTGGAAGTGAGAGAGGAGAATGCACTTGAATGAAACAGAGTTTAACATTCACACAGTAGAGCAAGACAATGAGCTGCTTGTTCTGCAGTAGCATGAAGTGACTGATCATTCCCATTCAACATGACACTGAACAAGCACTAGAGGGTGTAATGGGTCAAAGGAATATGCATCATCAGTGCAGAGCGCATATCTTTTCTGTGTAGTCTGATGAAACACTAAAAGCTTTCAATTGTAACTTCCAAAATCTCTGTTGTTTACTCAACCTCCTAAATTCTGCATAGCAACATGCTGCATAAAGGTTATACAAAACATATGTTATGTTGATTATTCTTCTTTCTTTATGTATACGAAAAATATTGAAAAGTAGAGCTACCATCCTGCCAAATGTTGCAATGCATTCATTGTAATAAATACCAACTGTAATTGTATTTACATACCATTACACCTCTAAGGCACATAAGCAGTCAACACAAAACTCATGCATGAATTGAATAGCCACTACCAAAAGAGTTTATGGAAAAAACATATCCATATTAGGGGTAAAGGCAATCACTATCCCTCTGTCTTTCACAGGTTATCCATTAACTCAAAGTACAGGCACCAAGAAAAACACAGTATATTCAAGCAGAAGCATGTGAAAATTATCATTTTGCAAAAAATATTCAATCAAAACTGACAAACTAACAAAATGAAAGAAAATGTGTAATGTGTTTGTTGAAAAAAAAAAATGATGCGGGATAAGCGCCATGCACCTATTATCTGCTTTACCGGTTCTGGGGGTGCTTTATAGCCCTTTAACTACATCCAGAGAAGGCAAAGAGATATTGAAGTAGTAACACAGTTATTGCAGCTTTAAAAATGTACATTATATGGTTAAAGATTTACAAAAGCTAAAGATATTACTCAAAACAGAGAGAAAAGGTCAGAGGAAAACTTTATTAGCAGTACTGGTAACAGGTAACCCATGCTTATATTCATCTTACCTTTAAGGTTGCTTGGTTTGCCAGTTTAGATGTCTGTAAGAGGGGGAATAGACAGATATGTGAATTGATTTATTCTGACACCAATTCATTACAGCATAAAAACAAAACAGTATTTATTGCTTGACTCTACTCACATTATCTTTAGCGATAGTAGCAATCTTGCTAGCTCCGACAGCGAAACTGCTCCAACCCTGCAAAAGAATAAACACATTTCCAAAGAGGGAAAAATACACGGCAGGAAAAATCTGACAAAAGATACACAGCATGACTCACTGAATAAATAGAAGTCATGGCATTGTTGATGAAGTCATCCTCCTTCTTCTCTGGGGTCACGGTGTTGCCAAAGCCAACATACCGATTCTCTTGGTTGCCACTGTAGCCCCCTCCGCTGAAGAGGCATACGAATATATATTTTAAAAAAACAGATAATTGAAATCAAACAACATTATAATAATAAAGTGAAGGCTCTCACCTCTGATATGAGTTAACATCATCACTCAGCCAGTCTTCAAAAGCTTTGTCTCCGGGTTTCGCTGAGCTTTGTCCCGGTCCTCCAGAGCTGTGTGAAACATGAAATAACTGCTTTAAAACCTGTCGTGTAGTGAGAGCGTGTAAAAGAAAAAAAATCCATCACTCTTACCGATGAGAGGATGAAAGGCCGGCATTGGGTTGAAGAGATGTCCAGTTTCTGGCCGAGGACGTCTCAATGGACCACTCCTTACCCTCTGCTATGGTTGCAACCTGTCATACAGAGTTTGTACATTTAAAATCAAGTTCCTACAAACAAGCAACCTCAGGGTCTGAACGTGATAAGTAAAAACACAGAAGTGCTTTACACTGGCATTCTTTCTCATAGCCAGCAGGGGGCAATTCCTCAGTTTGCACAACACATCTTCAGTCAATGAGAGTTTATGGTCTCAATAGCTCATTTTGAATCTTGTACATATACTATGAGGTTCATTTTGTAAACGATGGTCCCATTTAGAATAATACAGATGACCGATATGGAGGTCAATACCAATGTGTTTAACTTTTAGTCATTTAACCCTTTCACAGTGTCAGTTAATGATAGGGTTGCCAGATACTGACCATGATCAAAATCGATTATTCGGCAGCCCTGGCGAATAATAATCGATTATTCGACCGACCCCGACCCCCCCCCCCAGCGCGGGAGAGAAAATAAAAAACTCAGACAAAAGGAATTCCGTTGTTTGTTTCATTTTACTTCCTTTGGACTTGTAAGTTCGAAGTAGTTCCACGAGGAGGAACTCTTTTTA